CTTCCAGCCCGAAGCCCAGGTATAGGGATTTTGGGGATTGATCTTTAGTGCGCTAATTTGCAGTAGTTTTTCGGCAAAATATTTAGGTGTGCTCATAACAGTGCCAAAACTACGCCGAAGGTTACAGTTTGCAAACCCAATCGATCAACTTATGCTATTTATACAGAAAATATATTATTGTAATAAACCACTCATCCTTACCAATGATGCGGCCAGTTATATCAAAGAGCATCCATTGGGTGCTGGTTACCTGCAATTTACAGGCGCTTTCCCCAGGAGCTTCAGGCTCGCTTTTGAGCACCTGAACCGCAGCCGCTCACAGGGGGTGATCATCGAAGATATTTCGCCAAAGGCTTTGCAGCAGGAATTACACAAGCTCTATGAGCCGATTGATGCAGCCGGTGGAGTAGTACATGATGAGACTGGCAATGTGCTGATGATCTACCGCCGCGGTAAATGGGACCTGCCCAAAGGAAAGCTGGATGAAGGAGAAGACATTGCCAGTTGCGCACTGCGCGAGGTGACAGAAGAAACCGGCTTACACCAGTTAAAGCTGGGCGATAAGATCTGCGATACCTGGCATATCTATTCCCAGAACGATAAAAACCTGTTGAAACGTACCGCCTGGTACCATATGGAAGGCAGTGCAACCGAACAACTGGTGCCACAGGCCGAAGAAAATATCCTGGAAGCACGCTGGATCAGCACCGGCGAAATGGCCCCGGTATTACGGAAGACGTATGATGCGATTAAAGAAGTATTGACACTGGCCGGAACGAGATAAACACCAACGCCAACGCAGGATTTTAAAAATAGGAACCAACGCAGGATTTCAAAAATCCTGCGTAACCTGGGTGTGGATTTGCAATCCACGTGACCAGCATGGAACACCGCCAACAAGAGCAGTACCAACGCGTAACTTAATGTATTATCTAAGCACTGTTTTCATCCTTGGTCCCTTTAAGCAGCGCATAAATAGCCATCGCATGCCCATGCCCTAAATCAAAATCTTCTTTCAACCAGGCAGTAATTTCACCCGCTTTAACCTTCAGGATACCTTCCTCAACATAACCCTTCTCGGCAGCGATTGACCTGAAATCTGCGGGCGTTTTCCCCGTCTTTTCCTTTATGCTTTTTAAATATCCTTGAAATGACATAACAACTGTATTAATGGAACAAAAATAATCCGTGATACATAAATGGTAAAAGGGCTACCAGGACATTTTACAGGGGCAAATACGACAAATTGAATTCCTTCAATAAAA